TCCTGTTTTTCATATATTTTTTTAAAGCCCTTCAGAAGGAATCCTTTTCCTGGACACACACACACACCTTCCACCAGACCCAGTCCAAGTGCAAGGGGAGGAAGAATTAATTGTGGAAAAAAGTATTGATTCCCGTCTGCATCGTGGTAAACTACAATACCTGATAAGATGGAAAGGTTATGGTCCTCAAGAAGATTCGTGCAAACCAGAAGAAAATCTGCATTGTCCCCATTTAATCAGGAATTTCTACAGACGATATCCTGATAAGCCAAACAGAGTACCGTCCGGTGAACGTTCCTTGAGAGGGAGGGGTAATATCGGAAATGGAGGCTGCCTGGCCTGGGTCTCCCACACACTGGACCATGACTTATTAGGTTTGCCACCTTGGACTTTGCTTCTGGACTTGAATATGCTATAGTTCTGCATACTATTGTCCTGCATACCAAGCTTCTCAATCAGCCTTACCTGCTCCTGATCTTGTCACCAGAGTACTTGGCCTTCTATTTAAAGTCCACCCTGTTTCCTGGCCAGATTATTGTACGCCACACATAATCCAGTTTGCTGCCTTGTGCTACCTCATTTACTACTTGGAATCAACTTTGGCTTGTGACCCCGACTATTATTATTATTATACAGGATTTATATAGCGCCAACAGTTTGTGCAGCGCTTCACAATATAAGGAAGACATTACAATCACAATACAATTCAAGAAAGACACTAAACTCTTCTACTGCAACGACCCCGGCTTGTGACCCAAACTACAAAACTCTTCTCCTGCATCGACCTGGCTTGTGACCCCAACACGGATTCCTGTCTAGCAATTCGGACTATTCAACCTCTTATTCCTTAAGAATAGTGGTTAGCCTGAAGATTCTGGCCACTAGTCTCCACTCTCTACAGGTATTCTCCTAACACACATACTGTATTATTTAGTACTTGGAACAAGAGAAGCTGGATTCATATATAGAGAAGATTGGCCGGAACGTGATAATGCACAATGGCTCCAGTGAGGTCACACTCAACAAAAAAAGGATGTTGCACTTATAAGGGAGTCCAGGATGGAAGATATATGCATAGCATCCAATGAGAGCACCAAACAAGACTGCATCAGATTCAAAAATCATTTAATAATGGAATGGGTTTATAAAAAAGAACAGCTCCAAGGAGAACACACTAAAGAGCACCACTCCTCCACGACTCAGGAAAGGAATGAACCAGGTGCTTGCCTCTGGGACCACATCCTCGCTCCAGTATGAGCCCATACAAACAGAAGAAAAGCTGTCCACACACCGGATTCTGCTGGATTAGTTTATTAAAGCTTGTACCACATCACTGGTGTTCCATCCAAGGTCCACACCCTCTGATGTGTTTCACCCAAACAGGGGCTTAGTCCTAGAGTCCTAGTTCCATATGCACTAATGCACCCCCATACCATCAGAGATGCAGGCCTTTGAACTAAGGCCTTTGGTGCAGGACTTCTCTAGAGTCTCTCCCAACCTCTGGAACTCTTTACCCCAACCTGTCCGTCTGTCGCCCACCTTGACTACCTTTAGGAATTCCATAAAGCCTATCCCACCTTAACCTAAGCGCTCAACCATCACGTTCTCAAACAATTCATCCCCACACAGCTCCCTCCTCATGTATCACTTGCCCCTCCCTTTTAGATTGTAAGCACTCACGGGCAGGGCCCTCCTTACCATCTTGTCTTGATTTGTATTGTGATTGTAATGTCTTCCTTATATTGTAAAGCGCTGCACAAACTGTTGGCGCTATATAAATCCTGTATTATAATAATGATAATAATATTAATAACTGAGCGCTGATAAGCTGGAATGTTCCTCTATGATTGTTAGCCCCTGTGTGATAGCAATAAAGTTAAATGGAAAAAAGTTTAAAAAAAACTGAAAAAGAAAAATTGATAAAAGTAAAAAATAATAAAATACAAACGTGATAAAGTAAAAAATAAATAAAAAAAGTTAAAAAATAATGAGATAAATTAAAACCAACACAGTCTACCTGTTGCCAACTGTAAATACAAGACTGTCTGCTTTGCAAGACAACCAAGAATTACTGAAGACATTACATAAGGCTAGGGCATAGGGCATTGTGTGAGTGCTGCCCCCATTCCACTGAGTGCCATATTGTGGTAGCTGGGCAGCAGCACTCTATCATGCATAATGTGCATTAAAGGGTCATTTCACTTTCCCAAGTAATTTGGGAAATGGAATTACCCGCTAAAATGTGCCACCCCACGCTATACTTACCTTTCGGCAAACCGTCCTTCTGCTCTGCTGGTACGGGTGTACTATCTATACCCAATACTGCTGTCAAGCACAGCCCTGCACTATGGATTTTGAATTTCGCTCGCAAATTGCGAGCACTCATTGGTCAAGTAGATTGTCATGAGGGACAAGTAGTTTGGGCCCCCGCTTTAGTCCTTGGACAAGTAGTTTATTTTTAAAAAATTCACACCACTGCACTGACCTCTTCAGATGCAACATGCACCGCAGCAAGCCCAGCCCTATTAACCGTACTCAGGGCCAAAACCTAGGGGGGCAGAGGGGGCATGTGCCCCGAAGAGGGCACCCCATTAGGAGGAATATTACTATTGATATCCTACCGATGTGAATTTACCGCTCCTTCAACCGCTGTTCTGCAGGCACTGCCGGGGCTGCATAGGGGGGCCTAGGGGTGGAAAAATGCACCTTCAGACACCGAATCCAGAGGTGAGCAGGAGTGGCATCATGCAGAGCAGCCAGGAAGTAAGAGGGCATGGACTTCAGGGACCAGGGAGTGGGAGTTGAGCTGTCACTAAGTGTAATGGATTCGGCGTATTGCGTTCCACCCTGGAGCGCAACGCCGACGTGTTCCATAGCGAGACGCGCGGCTTGCGTTCCACAGTGGAACGCAACGGCCGTCAGACGCCGGCAGACCCTGGCCAATCAAGGCGGCCCTATTTATACAGGGGAAGAGCATAGCAGCGGCGTTCCACTAAACGAGTGTGCGCCCTGCTATCTCCCCTGGAACGAACCTACAAATCAGCAGACGGAGGGAACCTCTCCCCTACAGCCTTGTTCAGGGATCTACCCGTGGAAGGATCCTTCTCCGCAATACCGCAAGTACCCCTTGTCAGTGTGCTCTGGTACTAGAGACTGCTACCATTACGTTTACCAGCTGCATGTAGTGATTGTTACATTACTGCTATTAGGAAAATCCTGCTTTGCCATCACTGCTGTATATACTGTGCTCATAACGGGGAGGTACCCATAACTGCTGTATTAACTGCTCGCACATACTGCTATCAACCTCATACTGGTATTCCATGTATTGCTTCATGTGACGTGTGCTGCATTCCTACCATTACAAATTGTACTTGTATGATATCGAGAAACACTTTCGTGCTAAATATGATTTCAGTTTAGATCCGGTGATAAATGATGCTGGTAGCTTCAAAACTCTCCGTTTTATGATTGAGAGTGGCACTGAAGCTCCGACTGATTTCACCCATTACGAGATTCAATCAACTAGGAGATGTGCTCCAGTTGATGCAACCCGACTCTGCAGTTGAGATCCTGACAGAGCAATTAGGCGCATTACACTAAGTAATCACAGACAAAAAAGTCTATAGAACCCTCCTGCACATTGACACCTGCTCACTGCTCCTGTATATATGTAAAAAAAAAAGAAAATATATTTTTCCATCATTAAGAAGAGCTGGCTTCTTGTGTAAGTCCAAGCCCTCCTAAGACCCTGCACAGGCCACCTAAGACCCCCACAGCCCACCCTGAGTCCCTGCACAGCCCTCCTGAGACCCCGGAGACATCAGGCCACACAGAGCAACACAGAGTATCTAGCTTTATATTATTCTGCATTGCTGTATAATTTATTGCTGGCATATGTATTCCTCTATAGCTGGTGGTATTCCGTTTTGCTGTATAATATATTGCTAGAATTTGTAGTCCTCTATAGTTGGTGGTATTCTGCATTGCTGTAAAATGTATTGCTGTGTGGCGGGCCTCCATGGTGGATCAGTGTCTTTAGACCTGCTTCCGTGCTCCCCCCCCCCATTTCACATGAATGTGAGGCTTAAAATCACTTCATTCAAGTCTCTCCTCCATGACAGACTAGAAGGGGCCGCACCAGGAAAATAGAAGCGAGCCCAGAAGCGGCTCCTAGATTAACAAAGCAGCACTGGAGAATAAGGCGATTTTAAGCCTCATCTCAGCGGTGGATCAGGAGGGGAAAACTTAGTCACGGGGGAACAATTGGTCCAGAGCATTGAATTTGCGCGTCTTGACCTTGCAACGCCTCTGTGAACCTCTGCCCATCTTTACTTCTGAGACAATGACTCTCTTTTTATACCAAATCATGTTACTGACCTGTTGACAATTGGCCTAATTAGTTGCAAAATGTTCTTCCAGCTCTTCCTTGTTAGTTCCACTTTGCCAGCTTTTTTTTTTGCCCTTTCCCTTTCACCCGGTTGCCTTTTCCTGTCTTTTGAGACACGTTGCTGCTATCAATTTCAAAACTACCTTAGTTTTTTCTTAAAATGGTACATTTTCTCAGTTTAAACATTCATATTTTCTATTGTGAATACAATGTGCGTTTATAAGAGTTGGAAATCATTGCATTGTTTTTATGTAGATTTTACACAAATCAGGGTTGTAAATGATGAGCGATGTTACATCAGCTACCTGTAAATTACTGAGGAGAATTTATCAAAACTGGAGCAGACAAAATCTGGAGCAGCTGTGCATGGCAACCAATCAGCTAATACCTTTTATTTTTAAAGCTTAACTGAACTATAGGGAGAAGCCGATTGGTTACAATGGGCAACTGCTCCAGATTCTGTCTGCACCAATTTTCATAAACCCCCCTCTATGCATTAATTTACTGGCTTCTGGTAATAAGAAGTGTATTACAGTATATGGAAGTCATTTTAAAAATATGCTATTGCAATTATAGTCACCAAATGGCTGAAATGATAAAATTAGCATACCAGAATTCACCATCATCAAGAGATGTTTGACATAGACGCTTTCTCTCTGCTGGATCAATGGAACTCCATTCTGGAGAACTTGAAGATAATTGTAAAAATAAAAAATAAAAGTTATTTTGCAGCAATAGTTTATACTTTCTACAGTTTGTTACATTTTTGCTTGTGCAAACAGTGTATACACTATGAGTAAACCCAAAATCTTCATGTATTTCCGCTTTTGCAGCCATTTGTTACATGTTCTTATTCACGTAGCATAAGCTAAAAAAAAAAAAAAGCTTCTTGCAGTTTAAATATCTTTACTTTGGGTTGTGAGGGGTTTGTTAATTATCATTTGTAAAGTAGATGTAAACACTGCCTGTCCTAACAAAGGGTTAAAAAGATTACAACCCTGACTTCTGCATTCAGAATGTTAATGAAGTTAATAAAAAACACAATCCTCAAATTTCAGTCTTAAGTCTTTCTACAAGGACAGATCACTGTGAAGGTGCTCAGAAAAAAACAATCTAGATTCAGCTATCTTGACTGCTGCAACAAAACATCTAAAATGGTAAGAACTATGTAACTATGTAAATATGTTTTTTTTAAATGACTTTTCGTTATGCCATGTGATTGGGAACACATAAGCTATAGAGAGGTTTTCTCAAATGTTACTGCAAAAGTGGAAAAACACTTTAAATGAGAGGCAGGCTGTACTTTTTATTCAGCTTTTGTCTTTCTTAGTGCTCATGTGCTTTGGCTTTTAATTGTGTCTGAGCTATTTTTCTTCCCAATTCAAGTAAGTCATAATGTAAAAGATAAACACCTTTTAAGCAAATCCACAAGTAACTCAAGGGCAAATCAAAGAAACTTAGAAACACCTGAAAGCATACAGCATTGAACTTGCTTCTGAGTGTGCTACTCACATTAAGTACATTATAGCATAAAGGAAACATTTATAATACACATTCTTGTATCATTCAATTTGGTATAGATAATGTGACACAGGCTTTAGAACACTGATTTGGTGTATTGTATATAGCTGCAAAAACTTTCATCACCTACATTTGTTTTGGCATGTAACATTTTTCATGTGATCGTAATATCAGCACTACTATCACCTTAATTAAAATCTGTTAATCTTGGATATCAAATCTACGCTATCAGCTGCGATATCGGAGCTGAAATCCAACCTTCACTCTCTAACAGGTCGCATCCTCTCGATCGAAGAAGTGACCACACGCCACTCAGCGGCACTGACTAGGGCTCGGCAGACTTCCAATGAACATACCACCCGCATGCTCGAGATGCACCGCTATCTGGAAGATCTGGACAACCGAGGCCGCCACCACAACCTGAGAGTAAGAGGTGTCCCGGAGACCGTGGAGGCGGATCAACTTGAATCTACACTACTTCTCATCTTCAACGGCCTGCTAGACAGGCCACCTGAATCCCCGGTCAGCATGGAACGCTTTCATCGCGCTCTGCGCCCCAAAGGAAGAGAAGCCGAACCTCCTCGGGATATAATATGCTGCCTGGTGGATTATCGTCTGAAGGAAGACATCCTCCGCAGGGCAAGAGAGAAACCGCAGATTCTTTTTCACAATGCGGAAATAAAGCTGTTCCAGGATCTCTCCCATATTACCTTACAACATAGAAGGGCCCTCAGGCCTCTGCTGCAATCCCTCCGATCCCGAGGCATCGCTTACAGATGGCGCTTTCCGTTTGGTCTGGCTGCCACACTCTCGGGCCGCAGCTTCCTCCTCACGTTCCCGGCAGATCTCCAGAGGTTTTGCAAGCAACTCCGTATCCCCCGTGGATCTTCCGGAATGGTAGGCGGATTTTCGTCTACAGGATGGGCCTCCTCCACTCTCCTCATCGAGCTCCCCAGATAGAAGGCTGCTTTGCACCCCGACTCGCGGAATGGATCGTTAATCACACCAATAAGGCCCCTTTGGGTTCCAGATTACCCCTTGTCTAACATCCCCATCATCGACAGTCAAATCGGGCACAACTTGTATCAACCCCCGGTCGTTACACATCTTAGAGAACTGGATTTCTGACAACTTGGATCTCAGGTACTATGTATGTTCTTCCGATTACCGCTGCCTTTTTTCCCCTCCCACACCGAGCTGTCTAACTGAGACTTGGCCGAGACTTCCACTATCTTCCCTTGCCCCTACCGTGGCCAGCCCCACCGGCCCTTACCAGCTTTCCCTACCACGCATGGCAGGCCGCCACGACTCGTAACCCCCCCTAGCCCCTGGGTAGCCATGTTGCTCCATCCTCACCATGAAACACCTGAAATGGAACAATAATCTTTGGAAACTTGTCTTTGCCACGATCCTTCATATACCATCACATCGATACTTCATTTTATCCCCCAATTCCCGTCCACTCATGCTGATGTACACCCACGGTGTGTTGGGCGGGAGGGCCTGGGGTGAGCTGGCTCCGTGGCGGATAAAATGCTTGGATATACGCATCTTACCAACAATGTTGTTCGATACCGCTGCAGTTGCATCTAATACTCGTTGCCTATGTTTACAGATATCCTGTGCTCCCCCCTACTCCGCTCCCCTAGTACCCACTCCTTTCCCTGTCCCCTCATTACCCCTCTCCCCTAGAGATCATCCTCCCTCCAAAGTGATCCCTTGCCCAGGCATGGACCCCCCGGGCTCCCTGGTAGACGGGTACTCCAACGTAACTGAATGGGGAGTTAGCCCGCTAGGGGTGCTGCGGACCACCACGATCATATTGTGTAAGATTTGTACACCCTGTTTGCAATGTATGTGGTTCTTTATTTATAATATTGCTGCCATAATCTCCATGGTTTTGTGCTGCCGGTTGGCGCCACTCGGGGACCGCGCAGAGTGCTTGATGCTTGGGTTCTGGGCTTTCCGAAGGAGCAAAGTCGGTACCGTGCGGGGCCGGGTGGTGTCAACGGGGCAGATCTCATTGACGCTGTGCAGCTGCTGACGGCTAATCTAGAGTTGACCGTCATC